ACTTCACTAATTTATTTATTTTTTTTTAATTGAGTTTATTGGTACATTTAGGGATACAGTACAGTTACATTCATTGTTGGGATCATGTACCTTTACATGGCAAGTCTTGATTCTCATTTTTTTCCCCTTACCTCTGCCCAAAATCTTTCTGATAAACTGATTTTTATTAAGAGAGTCACTGATAAATTCCCAAAGGAACTAACTTTTCTCCAACTCTCTGAAAAATATATTTGTATATTGTTTTTAAACACACTTACAATGCTCTTCGATGGGCCTTTAGATGTTCCTTAGCCAAGATGCTTGTCTAGCACTTAGAAAGGCTCAAAGGAAAGAAAGAGGTTGCCACGGCCCCTCTCTCTTTGGAATAACTACAGCGTACTAGGAAATTACCCAGAGGTGCTTCTACCCTAGCTATCTAAGTGCTTCTGGGAGAAAGGAAAAGCTGAGTAAGTGAGCCTTGAAAACAAGGCCTAGAATTGGGCTATAAAAAACTCCAGCTTGTGGTGACCTTTCAACAGTCAAGAGCCGGGACATGAAGTGGGCAATGATGCTTGAGCAAAGAAAGACATCTCATGACATCAGCTGGAGGGGAAATCAGGAGGCTACTACAGCCTGGAAAGAGTGAGGTAGAGTGTGTCAGGGAGATGGAAGCAACTGGCATCCACACGGAGGATGACTGAATAACTGGAGGAGGCCAAGCCTCCCTGGATTATGGTGACAAGAAGGCCGGGCTCCCCTCAGACATGAGATGTTAGGAGGAAGCTAGGCCTCAGACCAGACGTGGGATGAAAGCAGGAGGCCAGGCCTCTGACTGGACATTGGGTGACAGGAGAAGGCCTGGCACTCCGCCAGACCTGGTGTGACAGAAGAGGCCAAGCCACTGGTGAGGTTGAAGACAGACAGAGACCAGAGGAGCAGAAAACGCCCTGGAAATTCAGTAATGGAACCTCAATTTGTGCTGAAGTGTGCCTATTTTCTGAATATTTCATTGGGGATCTGGGAAAAGATTAGAGTACATGGAAAGATTTTCTCAGAGAGGCCACGTCAATTCAGCAAGTGTCAGATAATCACTCAGCTGCAGAGGCAGGTGGTGGTCGAGGGAGAGAGGGGAATATCCCAGAGTTCTGCTTCGACCAGAAGTCAGAGGATGTGGGTATCTGGGAAGGGCATTTGGAAGAGGGACAAGTGACAGTTGTCTGCAGGGTAGCTGGTGGTCCTGGGGCCCAGAGAGGAGTTTCCCTTAGAAGGTGCTGGTGGAAGATCTAACAGGGGCACCTGGTGGTCACAGTAACCTGATGCTGATTCAGAGTTCGCCAAGAAAGGGGCCCTAAATGGCTGAAAAAAGATGCCTAGCTTTTGGATTTTATATTTCTAAAACCTAGGATGAGGAAATCTAAGAGTTTATTGTTGCAATTGTTTACTTAGTGAGTTGCTAGGGATTGAACTGAGAGCCTCTGTGTGCTAGGAAGGTGCTCTACAATTGAGCTACAACCCCAGCACTAAACATAAAGAGTGAGGGGCTCCTGGGGGACTCCCAAAGGCAAGGCCTCCCAAACAAGGCCATGGAGGACTCATCTTGTTTTGGTTTTTATTTTAGTCTGTCAAGAACTGATACTTGTAAAAATACAACAGAAATTTATAACTGGAAAAGTGACCATACATCCGAAGAAATGCTCACTGTTGGTCCTATGTTAGTTCCTCATGAATGAAGGTCAAGTCCAGAAACCATTTATCTGTAGAAACCCCAGTTATTTTGCCTTCCATTCTCCATCAGTCCAGCTCTGGGAGCAACCAAGATGAGATGCTCACAATGAGGCCACCTTTTCGACCTGCAGGAGGGCAGACCCCCAGCTTCCCTAAGAGCAGTTACAGACAAAGACAGCAGTGTATTTCAGGGTGGGACCATGCAGTGGGTAGACAGCTTCCCAGCTATGTCCCCCATGGCTGGGCAACAAGACGAGAAGGTGGGAAGGGGCCTAGTACTGTTGGTCAAGCATTAATGTGTCACATTTTGGTCAGAAGCCGGTTGTCGTGGAGACTTTCTTTGGATATGATGAAGATGGTTCTTCCGATGGTTCTTCCATCTCTTATCAAACTGACAGGACAGACCAGACCCCTTGCACCCCGGATGATGACCTGGAGGAGGTAACTTGGGTCTTCCACGGCAGTTCCTGCACTTGCCAGCTCTCGTGGGATAGGCAGAATGGGGCATGACGTGGGGTGAAACTGGGGCCAGGATAGCGTGTGAGCCCTACTCCCTATGAGGGCCTTCCCAGCCCACACCCCTGGTAGCCTATTCTTTTGCACAGTGGCAAAGATATTTTGCATTTCTTGGCTGCCTGGTTGCTGAGGGTGGTTCCTTGGTACCACCAATTCCCAGTCACACATCTTCCCTTGAGTCTCTCCTGCAACAGGGCATGGAAGAGGGCTCACCACACTCTTTAAGGACTTCTCAGGAAGTTCTGGACCACCCTGTAAGGTTGGTCCCATGCCAAGGACACATCAGGCCCCAGAGACACTGAGAGGAACTTTCTGATGAAGACAGCCAGATGTTCTGTCTTAGTGGGATGATGGCCACCTTCAAATTGACCAGCTGTCACCAACCCCCCACCCATGCACACACACCCAGGGACTGACCCGACTGGCCCAGCTCTTGTGGCTATAGGCATAGTGGTGTCCGTAGCCTTGATCAGGTCTAGTGGCAAGCACATGAATGGAGCCTTCCTTGGCCAATCCTGAAGGATGGACCAAAAACCACGGACCTGCTCAGAAATCAGATCGTCCAGCAAGCCTCAGAGAGTAGGAGAGAAATGGGGAGGTAGAACCAGGACAGGATTTCTGAGCTTGGTCACTCCTGACCATGGCCCACTCTTCCAACCCTAGGATCCTAGGGACTCTTCCAAGGCAGTAACAGGCCTATCTGCACCTGCCTTTCCCTGGAATTGCAGGTGTCATTGCAACCAGAAGGATGATCCTGCAGATAACTCTGCAGGAGCAAACCTGGGATGGACAGGCCTGGGGCAGACAGGTCTGGAAGAAATGTGTTGCCTGGGCTCTGCACTCCTTTCACAAACCCCAGCACATTTCTTTAGAGCAGAGCCATATAGGATCCTGGTCAGTTATAGTGGCTCCAGTTGGTTAGAGCAGCCAGACTGGCAGGTATAAGCCCCAGCTGAGCCTCTGGCCATTGGCCACCAATCCACAAGGTTCACCTTTGCCTCTGAGTGGTCAGCTCAGGCTCAGAGGTCACCTCCAGAGGAATCTTCTCCAAAGCATGCCCCTCCTGACATGCTGCCAGAAAAATTCCTCCTTTCTGCCTCTGTGGAAAGAATAGGAACCCTGGCTGACCAGGACTGTGCTGTGGCATGGAGCTTGTGCTAATGCTGCTTCTCTTTCTGTGTGCATGTGGTGCTGTGTGCCTACCCAGGGCATGGCCAAGGAGGAGACGGAGCTGCGGTTCCGCCAGCTGACCATGGAGTACCAGGCACTGCAGCGAGCCTATGCCCTGCTGCAGGAGCAGGTTGGAGGAACCCTGGATGCAGAGCGAGAAGTTAAGGTCTAAATGACTTCTACTCCATGACATTCCAGCTCCCGCTCAGCTCCTTCCCGCTTATCCCTTGTGGCCTGGGCAGGCACATTATATGTGCCCAAACTTTCAGGCCAAGCCCCTTCCCTCCCAGTTACTGCCAGACCTGGATGCTCACTGAGGCCATTAAAAACCTGTATTTGTGGAGCCCCAGCTGAGTCATCCCCGAGTGGGGGGTGGGACCTACCAGAGTGTGCCAGTATGGGTGGAATGTGAGGGTCCTTGAAAAGCCAAATTTGTCTTGGTCAAGGGCTGTGGCCAGTTTACACGGAGTCTGCAGAACCTTAAGATAAAGACATCTTCTAACCAAACCTGCGGGAATACCCTTAGGAAGCTCGCATAACAGGGAGGCACAGAGATGAACCAGGGGCAGCATTTAAGCTTAGTGTTTTTTTTTAAACTTGCTGAGGCTGTTCATTCATCCAGCAAATCTTGAGCTCAGGGCCTGCCTTGCAGCATCATTGTCTTCTCCCTGGATGCAAGTTGCTGGCATCAGGAAAAGGCTGGAAGATGGCCAGGAGCCCTCTGCTGGCTTCCAGGGGCAGTGTCAGCACCAGGCCACATGGGGAAGGCGGGTAGGGGTTCCCTTGCTGCTCCAACCTTATCTCTGCTTACCAGAGGAAGGTGCAATGGCTGGTGCACCGTATAGGGAGACGGACCTCTTCCTGGAGAGGTGAGGGGCTATTGAAAGCAGCCAGTGGTGGTGTCTGACATTGCAGTCAGTCCTGCTCCCTCTAACCATTCTGTAGGGGAAGAGGTGTCATCACCTGGTGATTCTGCAATTTAGAGTTGTGGTCTGGGTAGAGAACAGACCTCTCGGGATTAAGTACTCCAGATGCATCCTCCCAGCTGCTCTCAGAGAGTCTCCTGTCACCTCCTGCTTTCTGGGAATTTCACTAAAGTCACCTGTTGTGAAATCCTGAATCAAAGACCTGCCCTGTTGTGCCCTCTCAGTGCTCCTGGTGGGCGGCAACTTGCCTGTCTGTGGAGGTCACTTCCTTTTGTCTGGTTTGAAAAGCAGAGAGGAAATGGAAAGTGCATGAAAGGGGAATTTAAATATTTCTTATTTAATCATTTCTTTCAAATTTAAAATTTGCATGATACAAAGATCAAGGAAAATGTCAGACATAGTCTCTGTCTCAGACATCCTAAGACTAAAGAGCAGAGCTCTCTCCTAGGGCTAAATTGTCCTAAGCCTGGGGACCACCCTGCCCTCCTGGGGTGATGGCCCTTAGCCCCTGTAACCTGCAGTCCAATGCTCCTTTGCCCCAGACACTATATCCAACAAGAGAAGGGATAAAATGTTCATGGATTGGACCAGGAGAGAGCAAATTAAGTCAAGAAGGAGCAGCTCGACCTGGCTAGAAGCCCAGGTGGTGCCCAAAAGGAACTTAACAACCCAGGGGCTCACTTGTAAATCATGGAGCTCATCCTCCAAACAAGGGACAGGATCCAGGGAAATAGGGCTAGGGGTACAGTGTGCAGAAAAAGCAGTGAACCCCAGGTCAGCTGCAGCAAGACTGCAAGCTTCTGCAGATTGTCTCAGAAAGCCCTCACACCAGTGTGTCCAGCACCCACAGGCTCGTGGGCCCAGACATCCTTGTCAGTTGTCTCACCCTGTAAACAAGGGTTTTACCAAAGAAACTCTCAGAACTTGTCCACAGATTTTTTTCTGCTATGCCCTAGGTGAGATCACTCACTTGCACAGCCTCAAAGTTCTTCCTTTCTTGGAAAATATCCCATTAAGGGAGAGGATAGTCACTTCTCAGTAGCTAGACCCGAGGCAGTACCCTCTGAAGCCTGCGTCCCTGTGAGCCTGTCTGCCTGTCCTGGCTGTTAGGGAAAATTTAATGTGTCTTTGCTCCTGTCCTACAGACCCGTGAGCAGCTGCAAGCAGAGGTGCAGAGAGCGCAGACACGGGTAGAAGACCTGGAGAAGGCACTGGCGGAGCAGGGGCAGGTGAGCTCCTCCCAGAGGCGCTCATGGGTGCTGGCATCCTCCATTCACATCAGGGGGTCATGGGAGGCTTATGGCCCTCGAGGGCTGCCAAGTCGCCATCATCAAGGAGGGTGGAGGGATCTGGGTAAGAATTATTCGACACGTGCTGAAAATTAGTAGTTTTACAGTGTATCACACAGCAATAAAAATTCTAAATACTAGAAGGAATTCCGTGGCAAGCTGTGAATGCGGTAGGAATCTCCCAACCATGGGGCAGGGCCTCTGCTAGGGTTGACCACGGCATAGTTCATTAGTCCTCTGACTCAGGGCCAGGATTTCAGGTCTTACTCTCCTTTGGAGGTCTTACACCTCCAGTGTCAGCCCCACAGTGTCCTTCATGTGTTTATTGATAGATGGACAGACAAAAGGACACTGAGAGCAATGTCCAGGCCACATTGCCAACATCCCAGCCACAGCTCAGCACTGCAGCACCTGTCTCTGTTTAGCTGACATACACCTGCCCTCCAGGGAACCGTAAACATGGACTTTTGGCAATGGCACTTGAAATGTACCAGGCACTGCGTTTGCTGACCCGTGGGTGGCCCTGGCTCAGGTGTCGCAGGATCTAATATTTAGGGTCATGTCCCAGGTGCTGCCAGCCTATTGTTTGTGCGGAAAGAAAAAAGTGGCCAGGGAGGTTGGAACTCGTAAGGGTAGGAGGACACAAAGGCCACTTGCCGAGTGAGTCCTCCAGACTTGGCCACACCTTGCAGCTGGCTTTGTGGACAAAAACATGTGCGATGAAGCTGCTGTCAGAGGCAGGCAGCTCTCCTCTCAACACTGCTTTAAAATTAAAAATTCCACTGGTGGCAGGGCAGTTAGGTGGATGTCCAAGTAGAAGAGTGTATGCCCGGTGCACTGGGTTTCCTGCCAAGTAGGCCCTCCAGGCAGGGTCAGGAGGCCTCCGTGCCTCCTTGCCTTCTGCCTGTGTCTCCTGAGTGTGAGTCAACAGGACTCCGTCTTAGGTGTCCCATCATCTCCCATCTGTCCCCTGGTCTCCTTCACAGTCTGAATCCCAACTGACCCCATGTCAGGATACTCTGGACCTACAAAGTCCATGCTGCATCTTGTACCTCTGGGGATTTGGGGCTGGGTGCTGTCTGTGTAGTGGATGTGACACCCTTGAGACGTCCTCCTGAAGCAGGGCTATCAGCACGGGATTCTCAAGGAAGACAGGCAGAGCCACAGGTTTCCATTCTCTGTGCACCATGGACTGTGACTGGAGGCTATTTTTGAAGCTGGTGTTGTCATTCTCTTTTCTGCCCAATCATGATGTGGATGTGGCTTTGTGCTCTTCTCCGGCTGCATATTTATGTCTTTATTTCAATTTTATTTTCAAGGATATGAAATGGATTGAAGAGAAACAAGCATTGTACCGAAGAAATCAAGAGCTTGTAGAAAAGGTACACCCAAGCCCTGTGCACGGCTCTTCTGCATCATGGGGCACAGGGTGGTCCTGTGGGGTGGCCATGGGCTTGGCGGAGCTTCCGTGGTTCATCTTCTGGGAGCCTCAACCCAGGTACTCCTCTGTCTACTAGAGGAAAAGAACAGGGCCTTTCCTCTGAGCCCAGCAGAGCCCTGTATCTTGATTTGTGGTCTGCTGCACTGATAGGCTCCATGGATAGTTAGAGAATCTTTGGGAAAAGCTGCCCTTTTGAAACCCCAGGTATCATCCCTGACAGAAGCCATGTTGTGGCAGGGACTATTCATCATAAAGGCTGAATGGTCCTCAGGGGACAGCCTCTTTGAGACTCCACAAATGAGCCTGTTTTTGTTTGTTTGTTTCTGGCTGAGTGATTGTGTTTCTAACTTGACCAGGGAAACCTCTGGCAGGGGTCACTTATGGGCTTTCTTGGTCTCTGGATGACAAGAGGCTCCAACAATACTGTCACCTCCTCCCCACTCCCTGGCTGGGATCCATTGGTTAGAACATTTTATTCGATTAAATATGAGTCAGAAAATATGTCTTAGCTTCTGCATGGGATCACCACACCTTATCCAAGGCTTGCACAAATCAGGACAACAAGACTTACAGTCTAGGGACATCTGCCATGGGTATCATGCCGTCTCCTTAATTCAGCCCATCCCATGGGCTAAAGAAGAAGTTCCCTAGAGTGTGAGTGACTTCTTAGACTACATCTGGGCAGCTTAGGACCCTCTCAGTGGTGTAGGTAGTATGGAATGAGGTGAGCAGCAGTGGTGGCTATGGGTCCAGACACAGAATGGCAGATGGGAGCTTCTCAGCTCATATAGGAGACTCCATCATCACTACCCACTCTGAGGTGCACCCCCAAACACGTGCACTCAAACACACCCACACTTGGATATGTGTACCTTCAATGCCATCATGCTTGTGGAGATGCTTAAATACACATGCACTTCCACACATGTACATTTAAATGCTCACATGCATACTTTAACGCATGCACACACAAACACTGTGCATGCACACTCACTTGCACACTTTAAACCTGTACTCTTCTCTGGCTGTGTGGTGCACAGGGTCATATTCCTGACCCTGTAGGTGCTTCACCACCACAGCTGGTCAGGTAATAATTGGCACCAAGGAACTGTCCAGCACCTGACTGAATCAGCTCCCTCACGGGAAGCCAGTGCTCCTGCACCCATCACCTTTCCTCTGAGAATAAGAGCAAGCTCCTTAGTCCTTCAAACTTGGTTCTTGGCGTGGAAGGACACAGCCCACAGTGGACAGCCTGCCCTCATGAAGGTTCTAAATATGTGTGCCACAGGCTGTATGGAGTTTGCCTCTCAGGAGTCAAGGTCCCCATATCAGGTTCAGTCATTACTAGCTCTGTTTAAAGAAACCCTTAATTCGCTACATTAATTCTCCAGTGTGGCCAGGCAGCCTCACACCTCATCCTCCCAACAGATAACAAGTGTCCTGTTGTGCTCAGGGCCAGCCTGATTCCAGGAACCATGCAGGGATGCCTTGACAGCCCCTCTGTTCCCCAACATCCTTCCCATGGCTTCTTCTTGGGCTTCAAGGCATCCCTGATCACTGCACCTGCCCCTGCCTGTCTAGAATCTCCTACTCCATTTAGCCAAGGAGTGAAGGTTTGTCCAGTCTCACTAGGTCAGGCCCATACCTAGGCTAGACTGAATGCTCAGAGCTACACACTGCCCAAGGAGGTTCCAGGGCTGTGTGCCAGCCAGTCAGCTGTCCCCATGGACAGACGGCGGCTGTGCAAGAAGCCAGGCAGCTGGCCTTACATGCCTTCTACTGAGAGACAGCTAGGCCCCTTTTCAGTTTAATTATCTTCTAATTTTCAGATAAAACAAATGGAGATGGAGGAGGCCCGGCTAAAGCATGATGTCCAGGACGCAAAGGACCAGAATGAACTGCTGGAGTTCAGGATCCTGGAGCTCGAGGTAGAAACTGTGGAGCTGCAGGCTGGCAATGAGCTGGCCCAGCTGCAGGGCCCTGAGATGAGGTGCCTTCCTTGGGCCTCTAAACCCTTACGAGCCTTGAATATCATCCCAAAAGGCCAGGCTGGAAGGGAAAGGGACAAGTGCTGTAAACTACATCTCCTAGGAGGGATGGGGCCAGTGAGGCAAAGTGAACATAATCTGGGGTACAGGCGCAGAACTCAGCATCACAGAAGGAAAACAAAAGCAAAGCAAAACACACAAAAAGACCAGTGCCTGCATGCAGATCTGAGGAGCCCCAACAGTCAGGAAAATGTCCTCGCTTATCACTGTGGCTGCAGTGGCATTGGTGGCGATGAGTGGTGGGCAGAGACTGTGACCAGACCCCACTGGTTAGCCCAGCAGACATTTATTTCTTGCTCATAAAAGTCTCTGAGTAGTAGCAGAGAGTGCCAGATAGTGATTGGGCACCCTACCATCCCTGGCCCCAAGCCCTCTGCAGTGATGGAAAAGGGAAGGTGGGAGCAAGGACCCTTCAGGGGAGGTCACACTGGGCGTGGGTGGCCATATCATCATGCTCACTGTGAGGGTGGCTGGGTAGTGTGACCCACCTACAAGGCCGGAAGGAAGCGGCCTGCACAGCGTTACCCCTCATGGTCACCCTGTATGCACTAGCCTCCATCTGGGCCCAGTGAGCTGAAGCCTACTCAGAGTCCGGATGGATCTGCTTCTCAGAGTCCTCCTGTCCACCTCCTTCGGGGAAGGAGCATAGTGTAGCTACTCCATGTAGGCGACCTGCTCTGGCAGGCCCGGGAATCACTGTCCATGTTTGGCCTCTCCCCTGAGCCTCCTGACAGACCCCTGGGGTTGACCAGTGCATGAGCAAGTGGCTCCGGGTGGTCTCCACAAAGCCTGCACAGGATCCCCATATCCATCTGGAGTGAGCACACAAGGGGTGGTCTTCTTGGGTGAGTCCAGTGAGGTTTCTGCCATCAAGGCATCCGCAGGGGTTTAGTTTTCAGAAATACCATGTTGACTCCCCATTGTGTAGTTATGGCCCATGTTCTCTGAGCCCCCACACAGCGCTATGGGGAGGGAGGAAATGGGGTGAGAACAGCCCATCATGCCCAGCCTTCTGCTCTCTGTCTTAGGAGAGGGAGAGGAAGTCACCTGCTATCAACTTCCACCACACGCCCTTCGTGGATGGGAAGAGCCCCCTCCAGGTGTACTGTGAGGCTGAAGGCGTGACGGTAAAGCCCTCCCCTGCCTCTGCTTACACAGCCCCACCTGGCTGCTGCTCACCTGTCCCTGTCTTTGCATCCTAGGACATCCTGGTTTCAGAGCTGATGAAGAAGCTGGACATCCTGGGGGATAACGCCGTAAGTGTATGTTGCTCTCCTGACTTGTGCATGCTCTTCATGCCAGCCACCCTGGCCCAGCCCTTTATGGTCCCAGAGCCCCTGAGTCTCACTGCCATTCCACCTAGGCCACCCTGCCCAAGGACCCACCCCTACTGCTAGCCAGGCCCAGAGCCTGCTTGGCACGGGCACTCCGCATTTGGAGAAATCTCTCATTTTGTTCCTGTGCCATCGAGGTATTTTCTGTCTTGCAGCTAATGACACTTCCAGTTACATGTCCTCAGTTTCTGAAATCTCTTTCAGCTCCTCTATGCTCCCAGTGTTGCTCTTTACACTAATACTCTTGGGGGGTTCCCATTTCCTTGGTTTGGGGGAACAAGCAGAGACTATAAATAATCTCCAAATCTTGTTGGAGGCAGAGTTCCAATTTTAGCAGTGAACTTCCCAAAAGAATAGTATTACTAAGTGGGCAAAGTAACTGCTCCCCTTCCTCCCGTCCCCCACCCACCATTTCACTGTCCATTTGTCCATCCATCTTCTACCGTATATCCATCCATTTCTTCTACCTTCTCTTCCTCCCCTCTCCCCTTCTTCCCTCCTTAATCCACCATTCATTCATCCATCCATCCACCCTCCATCCATCTCCCCACACTCACTCTTCTAGGCCTCTGTTCAGGGCCTTGTGTTTGACAAGAACCCTGTATCTCCTTGCCCATCCATTTCCTGGGGAGCAGTGAGGAGCAGAGTGGAAAGAAGTGCCCTGAAGGGAAGCTGTTCTGGCTGTATCTGCTCCTCACCCAGACCTGGTAGTTCTCTCATGGCCACAGGTAGTAAAGCACCACCATATCCCACAGCAGGGATGCCTATGGGTGCAGTATGTTCTGGGGTCTAATCGTAGGTATCAGTCCCCAACATGGGCTCTTAGGATTCATACCGGCAACCCTTTGGTTCACAGTTGGAGAAACTGAGAGCACAGAAGGCATCTGCCTAGGCTCACAGATCTGATGTAGTGGCAGAGTTAGGGTGACAGTCCTTGCTGGTCCTGTTTCAGGGCTCCTTTCCCACCCTGTAGCTAGCCCCTCAAGGGCAAAGCCAAGCATGACTGCCCTGGAGCTGTCACAGTCTCTGAGGTCACTTTTACACAACACAGAGATAGAAGAGGACCTGTGGCCAGGTTTTATACTCAGGAGACCCTGTGGACATTCCTGGCAGTTCCTGCTGAGCCAAGGGGACATCCCTTCATTCTGACTGCAGTCCTGGTCAGGCAAATGTCACTTGTACCTTGTGATCCAGGACTATGCTCCTTGCAGTCTGAGCATGCAGGTCCCCTCTTGGAGCACAAGTGGCTGTGAGGAAATAGGTGACAGCCAGGGCATGCTAGTGCTGAGGCTGCCACATTCAGACCAGCCCCAACAAAGGCGATAGTCATGGAAACCTGGACCCCAGAGCAGCTCCCACTGCCTCACTTTCCTCAGGAGCCAGGGCCCCTGTCAGCCTGCTTTGACCATGCCTTGGTTTTTATCCACATCCAGGTCGATTCCCTTAGTCACCCTGAAGCCACTCGCTCAGCCTTCCCCACTCCATTCTCTTGCTCGTCAGATGAAGTGTGGGGGACGCCTGTCACTGCCCAGCTCTGTCCTGTCAGGAGGGAGCTGTAAGCAGTCTAGCTGGCTTCCAAAGCACCCGGCCCACCCCAAGCCCCAGCTGGTGATGCTCGCTACGTGCCCACCCCAAGCTGGCCTCGTACTTACAGCCGTCAGTCACCAGCCCCAACTTGAGAGACCTTGTTTTGACTTTGGAGGTGGAGGAAAGCAAGAGATATTTCACCCTTTAGGAATAGAATGGTAGACAGAGTTTTCTGAGACCTGGTCTGAATCAGGGAGGTTCTGGGGCTGAGCAAGGGCCTCCTCCTGCTCTACCTGCTGCTCCTCAGGTCCTCCACCTATTGTTGGTGTGTAAGGGGTCAGGCAGCCAGATCCTGATGCCAGAGGCAGCTGGGGTATGATTGTGTGAAGTGTCCACATCCTTGGAGGATGCTCATTTGGCCCTAAAGCCAGACTGAGGTGCCCCAAAAGACAGAGTATGAACAAAACAGGCAGAAAAGAAGGGCAGAAATGCCAGGGATTGGGATCATTTCACAGCCATCGATACTTGATCTTCCTTTGAGGCTTCAGATGCAAAGTACTAACTTTAAACAGGTCAGAAAAGGGACAGAATTGGGAATCTCTTGTCACCAAGATGCAGTCAAGGCATCCCTGCTAGTGAACCTGCCCTAGCTGTTCTCTTAGACCTCTGTGGTTCCAGCTGTGAGAACATGAAATGGACAGTGTCTCCTGAGAAAACAGGTCAACGACAAAGGGTATCAGAGGTCCCAGGAGGATTTTTCAGTAAAAGCATCATTGAGCTGTAACCCCAACCCCTTGCATCCATCCCATCAGCCTCGCCATGCATCCATCATTCAGCCCCACACTGAGGAAGGCACTGCTTCTAATGATACATCTGTTCTGCTTCTGGGTACAGAATCTGACTAATGAAGAACAAGTGGTTGTCATACAAGCCAGGACAGTATTGACCTTGGCAGAGAAGGTAACAGCAACTGTGTAGATACTGGGGAGAGGGCTGGCCTGTTACAGACCTCCCTGGACCTGCTCAGCCCAGAGAAGATGCTCTCCCTGGGAGGAGAGAGCCATGGAGTGTGGGGCCCCGCTAGGTTCTGTTTGCCTTGGGAGACAGGTCAAATGTCATGCACTGTGCACCTCTACAAAGGCGGGTTCAACCAGACACTGCCACTATCAGCCATGCCTCATTGTTTTCTCAAAGGCTGGAGGCTATGCAGTGTCTGTAAAACTGTCCAGCTTCCCTGATGGACCTTTCAGGCTTCCTCTTGGGGCTGCCCAGCCTACTTGCCCACCTTTTGCCCACCTCCCAGACCTACAGGTGGGTCACTGTCAGGTCTCCAGCAGCAGCAGAGGGAAGGGATGCTCCTGGCAAATAGGTGTTCAAGTAAATGAGCTGGCTTTCCCCACCTCTCCTGGCAAAGCTCCATAGATGTGCCTGCTCCTGCCTCACCCCAAACCAATGTCTCTCCACTCCTGGGGAAGGTGTGGGGCAGAGTTCCTGGACACCAGGAGGGGTGGCGATGGGAGGCAAATACCAGAATGGTTCATGGATCCCATCATGTGCCAGCCAAGCCCCAACTCCCCTCCCTAACTCCGACCTCCCCCCATCCTCTCCCAGATTGTCTCCACGTAGACAAGGAAGCGGGGTAGCATTGGTGCCTGTGTGAGTAACCCAAGGGGACACTGTAACCTGTTCATTCTGTTTATGCCCAGTGGCTCCAACGGATTGAAGAGACTGAGTCAGCGCTGCATCGGAAGATGCTGGATCTGGAGAGTGAGAAGGTTGGTAGTGTCCTCCACGCCCACCCCGGTATCCCTGCAGCTCAGCATCTCCAGCCTCGGTCCCTGAGGCCAAGACCCAGGAGGTCATCTTTTGTTTCAGGAGCTTTTCAGTAAACAGAAGGGCTACCTGGATGAGGAGCTGGACTATAGGAAGCAGGCCTTAGACCAGGCCCACAAGGTAAGAGGAAGGAGGCTAAATGTGTGCTCACGTGCCCAGAGGTGCATCTTGGTTGCCTTCAGGGCCCTGCCGGGAAGTGCCCAAACTCATTACAGGGTCACTTCCTGTGGTGATGATAATGGTGGTGATGACGCTGGTGATAACAGTGACGGCAGCGATGGCGATGGTGGTGAAGTTGATGATGGTGGTGCTGCCGATGGTAAGAGTGCTGACCGTGATGATGGTGATGATGGAAATGGTGATCATGATCATGACTGTAATGAGAGTGAGGATGATGATGGTGGGAGTGGTGATCATGGGGATGCTGTGACCCATTTTGAAGTGCCATTCTTGTCTTAAAAACTCGCTGCTGAAGCACGACTCTTCTCATTGCACAGTTACCCCTTGCTGTTACACAGGAGAAGGGCTATTTAGCCACTGTGATGATGGCTGCTCTGGAGGTGCTCTAGTTCCTATCTTGTTTCCACGAGACAAGGACTAGGGAAGGCTGCGCTGTCTCACTGGAGGCAGAGGCGCCCGCCTGGTAGCCCATGGCCCATGCCCTTTCCAATGTCCTTGACCGTAGAGATGGTCATGATAAAGTCCCCATTTAGCAGGTACATGTGAAGCCCTGTGATGTTAACTCTAAGGCTATGCTCAATCATACTTGTTTTAAAAGATCAGAGCTTAAAGGCTGGGGCATAGCTCAGTGATAGAGCACTTACCTGGCATGTCATGGACTCAATCTACACACACACACACACACACACACACACACACACACGCACGCACACACAGACTAGGGCTTGTTTCAAGCATCCTAAACTATTTTGCTCTGAGAAGTGGCAATTAATGCAGCACCATGAGCACACTGGGACCGTTTATTTTGTGGCTGTTAACAATACAATGTAACTGAGGCCCAAGAGGGTTTTTTCAATTTCCTAAATTTCTACTAAACCAAAGAAGTTTCATAGTCATTTTGCCAGAAAAAGAACATCCATTTCTGGATATGTGACAATTTTGATGGGAAGAAAGGGCCCATCAAAATGAGAATTTTAATGAAAATTTGTTTTTTTCAAAGATTGTATCAAAAAGTCTCTTAAAGATAAAGTTTAAAGTACTCCAGATTAAAGTGGTACACCCTGGGGGTTTATGAAAAGCTGTGTTTAGGCTGCTGAGATATAGCAAGGCATCGTTTTCCATCCATCCATGGCGGTCTCAGTCCTGAGCTGGAGTGTTGGGAAGCAGCTTTCAGTACTCTGTGACACCAGCCCCTGATGGCGTCCTTTTCTGTCTTGCTGTGATCCCGGCATACTTTCTGGCCATGCTGCTCTCAGCCCATAGCCGGAACCTCCTGTTTCTCAGGCCCTTCAGAACTCAGTCCTTCTCTCACACTCTGAATCAGGCATCAGCCCACCTTGAGGCTTCCCTGTCTTCATGAGCCCTTCACAGCTCCACTTCTCTTCTCTAGGGCATTGGAGGCAAACCCATGGCACATGTGACAATCAGGTTGTTTGTATCATTGAAAGCTCTGAAGGTTCACCACCACTGTCCTAGGGTCTTCTGCTGGATGGGAGGATCCCTCGATCTGGGGCTCCAGGTCCTTCCCCCTGCAGGCCCATGGGCACCCTGTGGCTCCCTAAGTGGGGCAGCCTGGCCTCCCTTGCTTGTTCTGAAAAGTGCACCTCTCCAGCCCTGGGGAGGGCTTAGGGAGAAGAAGAGGACTAATGCACCTCCCTTTGGTCCCCAGCACATCCTGGAGCTAGAAGCCATGCTGTATGATGCCCTGCAGCAAGAGGCTGGGGCTAAAGTGGCAGAGCTGCTGTCAGAAGAGGAGCGCGAGAAGCTCAAGGTGGCTGTGGAACAGTGGAAGCGCCAGGTCATGAGTGAGCTGCGGGAGCGGGACTCACAGATCCTGCGGGAGCGCATGGAGCTGCTGCACCTAGCACAGCAGGTGTGTGGACTGGCCTGGGCCAGGAGGGCCGGGTCCAGAGACGAGGGCCAGACTTTACCATGGCCCAACCTCACAACGGCTGTGCTCTCGACCATGCCCTCTGGCAGCCACACCCTTTCGTGGCCACACTCATGTCCCCACCCCCTGACCAGACTTCTGGCCTGCTGGTTGTGTTTCTGAAGCCTGTGGGTGATGCTTCCCCTATTTTAGGCCACTGTCTCTCAGTTCTCCGTGATGCAGACCCCTGATGTTATCATCAGAGCATTGTCTGGGGACACAACCTGGAGGCCCAGGCCTACTGGGCTCGTTCAGTTTTGACGGGATGTGAGGAACCCTGGCAGGCTGAACAGTCCTGATGTTTATACGCATACACCACCCTCTGTTGTGCCGGGTTGGCCTAGAAGTGGTTTTTATGGATATGTACACCCCCAAAACAAAGATCAGGATAGTAGATTCAGATAAACTGCCACGCTGTACCCTAGCTTACTGCGACAGCGGCCAACATCTGAAAGAGGATTCCTCGGCTGTTAGGACATGTGCTGCCATTCCCTTTACTTAGCAGCCTCTGGGCCTTCAGAGGGGTCAGGATGAGCACAGTCACCTGTAGCCCCTCGCTCCATCCAATGGGTTGTGGTCAGCACCCACCTTCTTCCACACCCCCACGCCTCACCCTCAGACAGCGTTTTCCTCTGGAACAATGGTTATGAGCTGTAGCTGCCCTTTTCTCTGCTACAATGACTTGGGGAAGAATGGTGGACTGATTTTTTGCTGTGCCTGGGCATTGTGATTTTTGACCTACAAGAGTCAAAGGATTTTTTTTTTTTTTCGCCACAGGAGGTGTGGCTATAAGGAAGGCCTTCTGCTCTTTTTTGGAGCGAAGATGGGAACTGTGGACAGCTGTGTGCACCTTGTTAGCCACAGGCCATGGTACGCTAGCTACTCTATGGCTGTTTGTTCACAAACAAATGAAGGACGATCTTTTTTTTTCATAAAGTTTATTGGTACATTTTAGGTACACCATACAGTTACATTCACCAATGGGAACTTGTACCTTTACATGATATATCTCGATTCTTATTTTTCCCCATTCCTTTGCCCTCCCTTCCACCCCTTCACCCATCCCTGTTTACAAAGATTTTGTTTCCATTTTTTTCCTTTTCTCATATTTTTTCCTTTCCCCTACCTCTCCCTTTTCCCCTACCCCTTTAGACCTTTTCTTCCTATTTCACATTATTGATTGTACATTTTTATTCCAAATGAAGGACAATCTTGAAAGGATTTTTTTGGGCTCAATTTCCCAAATACCCCGATTATTGAAGATTTTCTTCCTTTTAACATTACAGAGAATTAAAGAGTTAGAAGAAAGAATAGAAGCTCAGAAGAGGCAAATTAAAGAACTGGAAGAAAAGGTAAAATGGAGCTGTAGATAAAAGAACACAAGATAACTCCCACTCAAAGTCATTCAGTGCTCTGCTCAGGGCAGTAGAGGCTTGGTCTGTGACATGTGAACAAGAGGCCACCACCTGAGTGAGTAGTGTGAGCAGAGAGGGGCATTGATTGGTGAGGAGGACCAGAAGCCCTTACCATGACCCAGGCCTGCAGCCTCAGAGAAGTTATGCCTCTCATGGCGTTAGTTTTCCCCCTGGAGCTGTGGTGTTGGACGAATGTGTCAGCTTTCTGTGGCTGTGACAAAATACCGGAGAAAATCAACTGACAGGACCAATGGCTTATTTTAATTCATGATTTCAGAAGATTTAGTCCATAGTCAATCAACTGCATTGCCTTTAGGCCTCAGGTAAGGCAAAGCATTACGGCAGAGGGGCATAGCAGAAAAAAACTTCTAACCTAATGGTAGCCAAAAGTCAGAAAAAAAGAAAGAGCCAGAGAAGGAGGGGCTGGGGACCAGATATAGTTCCCAGCTCATGACCTGTGATCCACTCTTTTCCACTAGGCCTCATCTCCTGTTTCCTCGCCCCTCGAGTAAGGCCATAAACTTATGCGTCCATCAGTTGATTAATTCACTGATGAAGTTAGAGCCTTCATGAGCTAATCACCTTCCAAAAGCCCCACCTCTAAACATGTGAGCCTGTGGGGGACATTTTAGGTCCCAACCATCATAGTCAGTGACCTACCACCCCTTTTTTGGCGTCCTGAATAGCTCTGAAGCATCTGCCACTCAAGTTAAGTGCACTGGTAGGAAGAGCAAGTCCCTGAAAGGAGGGCTGTGGACCCTGAGAGCTACCACTTATGCAACAAGCACCTCTTCCCAGTGGCCCTTGGAGCAGTTGTCTCCAGGTGCAGAAGCCCCCTGTACTGAGGTGTACTGTGGTTGCACCACATGCCAGGGCTCCTTTTCTGGACTCTGGGCTCTGTGAGACTGGGGTCACAGGCATCTGTCCACTTGTGTTGGCAGACTCTGTGCTCCCCAGACCAAGGTGGCAGAGCACACCCAGAGAACTATGACTCCCGTGGGGATGGCTCACTGGCAGAGCAGTTCTTCCTCTGTCTGTGATTTGGGGCTGGTTCCATAATGTCCAGAGTTAGATGTCTTCTCCATGATGGATCCTGCCTATGAGGCAGGTCTCACCAAAGTGACCAGTTCCCATCAAGCACTGGTGGGACCTGCCTGCCTGTCTTGTCCTTTCCAGAGAGAACAGGATGCTGGCATTTGGGCAGGTCTGCTCTATGGGCAGCATCTCAGCAGGGCTGAGGAAAAGCCAGGAGATGCTGTCTGTTCTTCAGGAGAGACAGGTCCTTCCTGACAGCCTCCCCTTTCAGCTGGCCGCTGGACCATCCCACCACCCACCGCAGCCCTGCCCACCCCTCCTCAGCAGTGACCCAAACTGCCCTGTGTGCTGGACACTTTACCACCCAGCAAACGTCTTATACATGTGCAAATCCACTGTGAGGAATAGCTAGAGCTTTGAAGAGTACAACCTGAGCAACAAGGTTTGCAACAGGGACTCAGCAGCACACCTCACCAGGTCACATGGGCAAGCATCTGCCAGGCACAGGATGCCCAGAGGAGACACAGTTCTCAGGCCTTGAGCTTGAAGAGACCAGTCTCCCCAAGCCAAATGTCTGTTTTGTTTTGTGTCTTAACTAGAGGGCATGTATTTATATTAAGTAATGGGGCAATTTTAAGTCAAGGGTTTGTTTTTTAAATTTAGCTGAAGTAGTTCTTAGCAATACTGCCAGACCTCCTGGGTGCATATTGCTCTGGCCCCATCCCTCAAAAACCAAAACAAACAAAAGAAGAAAGCTTCAAAGTATGAAATCTATACAGGTTGTTGTATACCGAAGTGTTGTCGCAGCACGCTCAAATTTATTTGCTGGGCACTTGGGGTGTCTTTCCACTAGGATGACATCACCCTTAACAGGTAGCAACCCCCATATAAGCTCCTGATCCAAGGAGCCTGGGCTCACCTTGCCAGGCCAGACCTGGAGCTCCCAGTTGTGCTCACATCCTGGCTTAGCGCAGTGCTCGTCTCTGACATAGCCCTAGAGGTGCTGGCACGTCACTGTAGACCCAGGGCTTCTCACAGCATCCCATACACATGTCCTGACTGCCTGCTCCTCCAAGGGCTGCTCTGTTTTGCTCTGTCTGTAACCATGTCATTTCTTGCCAGAAACACTACAAACTCTTTTTTCCTTTCTCTTTCCTTCTGTTTCTCCATCCTCCCCTTTCCTTTTCAGTTTTTATTTTTGTTCTTATTTTTCTCCCTAGCTTTCATTCTCTGGTCATAGCTGGTCTTGGCACTCCGATGTGGTGAGTACTTCATGGCTAGCGTTTTCTGCCAAGATCCCACTTTGCTTCTGGGGAGACCATGGAACCCTTGCTGGCCAGGCAGCTGCCTGCCATCAAGAAGCAGGAAGGCCACTCCTCAGGACCTCCAGAGGCCAGAAGTCCCTCCCTGGGGGTTGGGCTAAGAGGCTGCTCCCACCCATGAAGCTGCAGGCTGTGCCTGCAGACCAAGGCCATACACCTTGCTTGGTTACTGCTTCCTGCCCAGGAAGGATAAGAGGACATTTGGGCCACAGGGTCATTGTTTTTCTTGGTCCTTGGACCCCACGTTTCAGTGGGTGCCCAAGGGCCTTTCCTGGGAGCAGTGGGCGCCACCTTGAGTGGCCCCTTGTCCTTCTGACTGCTGTGCTGTGCTTCTCTTTTCTTCCAGCCTCCCATGGAGTCATACCCCTATCCTCCAGTCGGACCAGAGAGCAGTGGATGCTGGCAACCAAGTGGGACATTGCGTCTCATCCCTGAAGACCCCAAAGAGTTTGAACATTGTGCAGCTTTCCTGTGCAGGATAAGGGGGAAAGCAGAGCTTTGAGTGGGCGCCTCTGTCTACTCGGGATGAGCCAGAATCAGAACTAGCTTTGCTGGCTGGGGCTTCTCTGAGAGAGGCCTGGCCTTGGCTGCTAGTCCCTCTTCTCGTAAGGCGGCCTCCATCCCAGTCATGGGGATGTGTAATGTTCCCTGCCAAGCAGGGGTAAGAACTGCTCCGGTGCAGGAGCAAGCTCTCCCCGCCAGTTACCATAGTAACTGCCCATGTCCTCGGAGGAAGAGCTTTAGAAAGGACACAGGCTCATCCCCAATGACAAAATGAAGACTGTGACTTCAGTGGCAACCTCCATTCAGGGCAGTCAGGAGGGTTCATTGGGGACAGCCTCAGGAGGGCTTTCTGTGACACCCTCCGTGCACAGTGATGCCGTGACTTGTTCGCTGGGGTCCCGAACACTCACTGGTGGACAAATGTCACACCCGCCCTTGTTCTTTTATATCTCAGTGGGGATAGAGGAGAGCTTTGGCTACTGCTGACCTCTTCACCCCACCTCGAGACATGAAGGCCAAAATCTGGCCCCAAACCACTGGCCAGGAGCACAGTGGTACCAGAGGAGGGACGAGGAGTATGCTAACGTGATGTGAGATGAGGCTGCAGAGCCCACCCACCGAAGGAAGCCTGATGCCAGAGAACATGGATGTGGCCACACAGCCTAGAAACCATAGATGTCCTGAGCACCTAGTACTACCCAGCCTGGAAGCCCCTCAGCAGGCCAGCTGGGCCTGGTGCCTGCAGATGGCCGGGGGTGCCCAAAGATGGCCTCACCCAGAGCTTTTGCACACAAGGAGCAGGGCCCAGGTGAGGATACACAAAGTGCCTGTGGTTCCACGGATACAAGAAGGGAGCCCGGAGTCCAGTGGCCCACAGGTGAGGCAATGACATTCATCTACTAGCCTTCCCTCCCTGCTCTGATTGGTGGCCCTGTGCAGGGAAATATGCCTGCTTGTTCTGCCTGGTTGAATATGTCCTTTCAATCCCTGACAGGGAACCCAGAATGACTCCTTAGGCTGCGAGAGTGGTAGGGCTCTGAGGTGTCTCCCTAGACGATGGAGTACAGAATTTCTTCATTTTCACCTTTGGACCATAGCCTGCACACATGTGAACTCCACATTCTCATGCTTATCCAGGACTCCAAGCACCCCCAAGTGCCCTCTGGAAAACCCACCTGAGCTGCCCAGGTGGCCCCGTATCCACCCCAGCACTGGGTGTTTCTGTCAGGGTGGGCTCCAGCCCTATCCTCCTCCCAGAACCCTCAACAAAAGAAGCTTCTTCCTTTATCTCATGGAGCATTCTGCCTGTGGCCCTGAGCCCCTAAGCAGGGATTTTCCTGTCCTCTGCAGGCGGTGATGTGCTGAGCTGAATAGCGAGGCACTTTCTTTCCCCATTCCTCCAAACAGGAAGCATTTCCCCAACTATCCGCCCACTCCATCCTGCTCTGTAGATTGCAAAAGCTTCTACTGTGTGACGGAAAACACCCTTTCCCTCTGCAAAGATACACATGTTGCAAATACAGATGCTCGTGGTTGCATAATTCTTCTGTCCTGGGCCCCCGGTATGAAATGAGGGAACCCTACCACCCCCAGACCCCGGTCAGGGTCCTCCGGCAGGAAAGCTGAGTACTACCTCAAAGCCACAGAAGGGGGTTTGGCTGAGGAAAGTTTCCAGCTGTGGCTGGTTTAGCATAGCCTTCCTTAGCCCCTGAGAGGTATCATGGCCTCCAGGGCAGGGGGTGAGCAGTCCCTGCTGATGGGGCAGAGCCTGGAGTTTCCTGCGAAGGTGGTGAGAGATGCCACTGGTGGTGGGGGTGGGGACTGCAGTACACACAGTGATGGGGCAGGAGCTAGGACACTACACACTGCAGGGCCCAGCTGATTTCCCCCAAGTTAGGAAAAAGAAGGAAAAGAGAAACCCCATCTGGACTATCAGAATGCTTTCTCCCGTGTGTACATTCTTCTCTTGCCCTTGTGCACGTGAGTGTGGACATTCACCCACTCACAGGGCTCTGTGTCGCCCAGTCTGTCTGTCACTCTGGGAGTTCCCCCAGCAGGAAATGAGGGTCAGAACGTGGGCAGGGCCCCCTTGTCAGTGAGCTTATCTTTACAAGTGGGATTTCGTAAGTGAGTGTTTCTGGAATACCTGTTGTTTGTGTGGCACTCAGACGCCTGGTGGAGAGCCATTCCCGAGGGTTATTCAGCAAATGCTCCCCCATCAAAGGGCCACATAAGGCTGCACCTGAGATTCCAAGAGAGTCTGTGCTGCTGTTCCCTCAGAGGCACCTTGGTGAGAAAACAGCACGAGGATTTGCGACCTGCCTCTTCAGAAGGGGTGGACGACATGTGCTCACCTTTCACAATGTATTCTGGCACGTTTGTAGAGGTCCATCTTGCCCAAAAGCGTGGTCATGAGTGTAGGTTGGGGAAGGCACAGTGCAGTATGCGGCCACTGCACCCCCTGGTGCATGGGCAAAACCCCAGCCAGAAAGTTCTTAGATTTGCTCTAGAAGGGAGCAGGATGCAACCTGGCTCAGCCCTGGCCCAGCAATGCCACCATGAACCACACGAGGGCGATCTGACCTAACAAGCTGTGTCTTACTTGCTTCCCACTGACTGCCTGGCACTGGGCTCTGCCTTTTAGAACTTCTGGGAAAAGCCTGTGTGCTGCCAGCTGCAGTTGCATTTCTGATTTCTCAGTAAGGAGAGCCTCACTCTCACATTAACATACCTCAGGTTGCAAAGGTCACCCGTAGCCAGGTGAAGGACAGTAAACCCAGAGCCGCACTGCGCCACACGCATGTCCTCAGACCACTAGGGAAGTCCCAGAGTGGCAGGGCACACCTGTCCTATTGGTATCTCATTCTCCAGCTCCTGGAAGGCCAGGCTGTGGCTCTCACTCTCACTGTGTGGGACAGGCGGACCTCAAGGACCTGGAAAGCCACTCTGGGCCCAAAGCCTGAGCAGGTTCCAAGAGGAGGGGAACCAGGGCCAGGTGAGGAGGGATGGTGGTGGGCCAGACTAAGCCCCATTCACAGATGCCCCTCACCTATCTCTAGGACCTGGACATTGGTGACATCTTCCCTGTTCAGAGTCATTTTGTGAATTCTGAAACCAGAGGTGACTCAGTCTTCTTGAGTGCTCACCTTATGGTGGTGAAGGTGGAGGAGCCATATGGTCATCAGGGAAGGACAGTGGAGTGTTGCAGGCGCAGTGGAGATAGGCTGGATTGTCACCTTTAGGCTCAGAGGCTGATATCTGCAAAAGAGCCTTGGGGCCAGGATCAGACATCCTCAAGAGGATATCATTTTCCATTGATCTATGGAGAAGGGCTTAATTCTAGACATGGGAACTATAGAGGGTGAAGGGAATTTTCTCCCAGCCCAGCTGCTACCCTTTAAGGATCAGAGAGATAGATCTGAAACACTAAATCAAGTAGGGGAAAAGTACACCTGCCAGTTGGCACCAAACCATTCAGCTGCACCAGGGAGTGGCATCAGCTCTGAATGCTCAATGAGGGCTGCTCATCATGGCCCAGGAATTGCCTCTGGTAGGACAGGGACAAGACCAACAGACAGAAATGCTATTGCTGCCCCGCAGCTCCCAAGAGCAGATTGCGAGAAGGGAGCAGCCACCTCCTGTAGCTCCTGCTAACCCATTGCCTGCAAGAGACAAATTCACTAACTAGAGTTCATGTGTACCCTTCTGTCTGTCCTCAGTGTCCAGATAAAATATTGTTCTCCAAAATAAGTTAGTTCACCCCTTTTCCACACTTTGAAAGGTACTTATGCTACTTGTTCATAAAGAGTTAGGTTCCTTCGCTATGGCTCTTATTCCATTTACAGCACACGTTGATTTTTTTTTTCTTTTTCTTTCTTTTTTTTTTTTTTTTTTT